ATACACCTAAGGTGGTGGGTTCGAACCCAGCCTGAGCCGCCAAACAACAATGATGGCTGCAACCAAAAAATAGCCAGGCGTTGTGGTGGGCGCCTGTGGTCCCAGCTACTTGGGAGGCGGAGGCAGGAGACTCGCTTGAGCCCAGGAGTTGGAGGTTGTTATGAGCTGTGATTCCATGGCACTCTAGCCAGGGGGACAGCTTGAGGCTCTGTCTCAAAAAAAAGAAAGAAAGAAAGAAATTTATACCAAGATCCTCCTATAGGGCGGCACATGTGGCTCAGTGAGTAAGGCATCAGCCCCATATACTGAAGGAGGCAGGCTCCAACTCAGCCCCAGCCAGCTAAAACAGCAATGAGAATTGCAACATAAAATAGCCAGGTGTTGTGGCGGGCACCTGTAGTCCCAGTTACTCAGGAGGCTGAGGCAAGAGAATCGTTTAAGCCCAAGAGTTGGAGGCTGCTGTGAGCTGTGACACCACAGCACTCTACTGAGGGCAACAAAGTCAAACTGTCTCAAAAGAAAAATGATCCTCCTGTGATCTCACTATGGCATAGGGACGAGAAATTGTAAAATAAGAGGAAAGGGTAAGGAAAGGAAGACAAAAAACAAGCGGACAGGACAATGACAATGTTAAGAGATTCAGGAGACAGAATGATGGAATGTAGAAAAATTGTGGGGGAAAAATGTTGAGTGCTACTTACTCAAATAGGAAAGAGCATTTACATCTACCTTCCAGCCCCAAGGCACCTTTCTCATGCCTAACAAAACTGCCTTGTACCCCTTTCTCACACTCACCATGATCCCTGGCTTTCTGGATAGCTTGGGTCAACCTCTTGTGCTGCTTCATACAGACACCTGTGGAGAGAAAAATGGAAACTTGGTGCTTATTCTCATATCACTAAATAAAAGAACACAATTACATCTGTATGGTGTAAAGGGCTGCATGAAGACGACTTGGCTTTACCTAATGACCCTGTTCTCTCGTCCCCTCCGTGGGCCACAGTTTCCGCATGTGCCCAATGGGAAGAATCCTCTCCCTTTCTCTGAAAGCTGAGATTAACATTCAGGAGGATCTAACCACTACAGAGAAGCCATTTAATAGTAAAGGCTCTAGGACATGGACCAGAACACAATTTGAAGGGCAAATGTAGTTAGTGAGAGGTTTCAGTTGGACAGTCCAGAAAAAGAACCAATAAAGGAGATTTCAGAATTGTGGAAGACAATCTAGAGAGCAACAACAATAGTCTTAGCTTTTTACAGCTTGACTATAAGAAAATGATAACAAAACTGATTGAATTGCCACTCCCATAATGAGGTTCAGATTCACTACAAATTTATCTTGCTTCAAGAGCAGGAATTGGCAGATTTTTTCTGATTAAGGTCATATAATAAATATTTTAAGCCTTACAGGTTCTCTGGTCTATGTCTCAGCTACTCAACTCTGGACTGTAAACTAGAAGCAGCTGTAGACAATAAGAAAAGAAATAAATATAGCAGGGACAGACTTGCCTGGTATCTATAGTTAAGAGAATAAATATAATCCTGAATTAAGATTATTAAGAAAATTTTAAGAGTCCACATTTGAAAAATCTAATTGAATTGACACTGTTATCAAAGAATTTAGCTGATAATTTGTGAAGAAATCCTTCTGTAAAAACGAAGCAACCCTATAGAAAGAAAATCACCACCATTTTATATTTTAACAACTATATTTAAGTAGTTTGCTTACAGAAGTACTTGCTTGTACCTTTTATGCTTATGTAACTGTTTAGCATGTGAGTATCCCCATTAAACCATGATTTAAAAAAGGTTTAACCAGATGGTGG